GAAGGCAACACCGCTCTCCTGTGGTGTCAGTTATGGTTAATGTAGTTTTTAGACCGGTATTAAGTCAAATGCATTTTATACGTTCTAAATGTTTCCATTAGGTTGTTGAGAATTTGGTTAACTTTTAACTTTAGACAAAATAAATTTTACTAAAATATATTCATCCCTTTCCCCCATTCAACAAGTAAAAACGTCTTCAGTAAGTTTAAGTTACATGCACAAAAGAAAACAAGACACATGCACCAGTGTTCAGCCTTAATTTAAGACTTCCTGACATTTTGCAGTAATCTGTTAAAAATGTTACATTTTTAAGGAAGTTACAGAAATTTACACCCCATCTTCCAGTAAACTGACTCCAGCAGGTTTTAAAGTTTTGTCAAGTAAAAGGAGGCCTGGCAAACTAAACACCAAGAGGAGGAACATCAATAAGGCCAAGTCGTAGCACACTGAACTAACTTCATACTTTGTCAGTCACTGCTGACGTACTAAAGCTGGCTTAAAAATAAGACAGGTTTAACTGGTATATGTTATTAACAAAACTAAACCTGAATGACTATTAAAGGTGATTTATGATTGAATTAAGCAGGCATACAAAAGATACCTTCTCCTTTTTTATTCATAAAATTACATTTTTTTTCCTCTTTCTTCTGTAATCATGACTCCACCTTTCTCATCAGCTCCCACCTGAGAGCAGTGGCAGCTGTGCAGGTATTGTGCTAGTTGTTGATTCCATAACAGGATGACAACAGTTGAAAGCAAACCCTCCCTGATATGAAAAAGTGACAAAAGAAACAGGAAAGGAAGCTAAAGAGAACATCTCAATTCACAAAGACAAAACTAGTGCATTTAATACCATAAATCTCCAGGGGAAAAAACAAAAACAAAAAAAATCCATCACTAAATAATTAATGTTGACAGAACATGTAAAGATTGGGAAGATACTGTTTTGACAATATCCACTGATTATAAACTTCAAAGGTAAGGTCAGATACAAATACAGCAATGTTTTCAATACACAGTTGTGATTTTGGTCAAAAAAACAAATCCTGCTTTTTGTATTAGTCATTGTACACTGATGATTCAAAAACAGTACATTAATGCTAAAATTACCTAATAACGGTGACAATGTTAATAAAGGACTACTCACTGTATATGGTTTGATAATATGGAGGGATGGTTGTAAAACCTTACGTCAAGGCTTTAAAATTATACTTAACAGTCAAGAGGTTGAAGCCGTAATACAAGTGATAACAATAATAATGTCATAATTCACTCTCCACAACTCTGTGAAGAAGGAAATATCTGTCTGTTCTCATCCTCTTGTTGCAAAGCGTCTCTTTTCCAGGGAGCTGACCGGGATAAAACAGAAAAGTGCAGGACTGCTGCATGCATTTGGACTGAAGGTTTATCAGTGTCGTGAAACCATTATGGAAATACTTTAGAAATTTAGGATATGAGGGAAAGCAGAAGAGAAAGGACGGGGCCAGAGAGTGTATTTATATTACTTCCTGCTGCATTAATTTTTTCCCCTCTACACAAATACAGAAACAAAAACAAGCACAATGGCCCTAGTAAGTGCCATCGGTAATGACTGATCTTTTATTTCCATCTTCCGTGAGTGGGACATTTTTTCCCCCTAAGATGATGTCAGGTGCCCATTATCAGAGAGATCACGGACTGGCAAGTCCTGGGGTTAAAACATGATTCTGTGACTAAGCCTGTGAGTTGATTTCTTGGTTGCTTCATTAGTTGGAACCATCAGTGGGGTCTGGCAGTTGACTGGCCAGTGGACTCTCATTTGCCAAACAGCTAACTGGTGCTGTGTTTCTTGTAGGGTAGTTGGTCCAACCACGGTTTAGTTTGGTTGGACCAATGGGACATTGTTTGACATCTGGCTAATATCTGGTGGGGTTGATCAAAGCTGTAGACTGGCTGGATCAGCTGACTCGTTGTTTTAGTTAGTTTCCGCCCCCACAGCACTGGCCACTTCTACCTTGTGGGGCTGCTTCGTGCAGGTTCACGCCGCTTCGGGCTTGTCCTCCGGCAGCTGTTCCACCCTGAGGCTCGTTCTTAGGAAGCTTCTTGGCTAATGTGGTGTAAGAGTAAATGGAATTAATTTCTGCACTGTGGTAACATGACAGTAAGGTTGCAAAAGATTATTATTTATGTTATTGATTATTCTGCTATTTCTTTCAGTAGTTCTGTCTATAAAACACCAGAAAACTGTGGGGGTAAAAAATAAACAAATAAAAATCACAACCGTCTGGAGCCCAAGGTGACGTCACCAAATGTCTTGTTCTGCACGGCTACTGGACATTGTTTGACAACTGACTAATATCTGATCGACTTGATCAAAACTGAGGCCTGGTTAGATCAGCTAGCTCAATGTGTCAGGAAAAAATGGTTTTGTCTGAATAATATTCTCTGGTTCCAGTTTGTAAAATGTGTGGATTTGTTGCTTTCTTAGTTATATGATAGCAAAATAATTTGTTTTTGTGTTTTGGACTAACGGCTGAACAAAATAACGATTCTGATGAGAACAACTCAAGCTCTGAGAAATTATATATGGCATTTTCTCTGTTTACTGACATTTTATAATCAAGATGATTAATCAAGCCAATAACCCACAAATTAATGTAATAAAAACAATTGGTAAGAGTTATTCAGCTGCTGATTTACTTTCATTGGATCAACTAATTACTGTAGCTCTACATGACAGTATAATATGTCCTTGTCAGTGCTGAGGATCACTTACCTATAGCCATAAAACTCTCATTCACATTCATAGCAGTCTTGGCTGAAGTCTCCATGAAGAGTAAACTGTTGTACCTAACCCCCCGAACATACACACACACACACACACACACACACACCTGTGTGTATGTGTGCGTGAGTAATTTGGCATCTTATATTATTCAAGAATTTAATTAAACTATAAGCTTCGATGTCAGAATGTACATCCTCCTTTTTACCTGGAAATCTACAGTTCTCTTGTTGGCCAGGTCAGCTTTGTTCCCTGCCAGTGCAATAACAATATTTGGGCTGGCTTGTCGCTGAAGCTCCTTCACCCAGTTCTTTGCACGTGTGAATGTATCCTTTAAAATAAATTAAAAAAAAAATACAATGTGCATTATCTCAATCATGAGCTTTGAATCACAGATGCAAGTTTTAAATGTTACATTCGACTAAAAGTTAATAGAACAAAGGTCTGTAGCTGTCAGCTGAATTAAGCAATGATCAACATGGGCTGCACAACAAGGGTTAGCAAACAAATGACATAAGACCTTTGAGTGTCTTGGCTGATGTCATCACACTCCGTGCAACTTACTGCATTGGTGATATCGTAGACCACAATGGCGGCCTGAGCTCCTCTGTAGTACATGGGTGCCAAGCTATGATACCGTTCTTGTCCTGCAGTGTCCCAGATCTCAAACTTGACTGTTGTATCATCCAAACATACTGTCTGTGTGAGGAAGGCAGCTGGAAAGAAAAGAAAAACATGAAACTTTTGTCTGAGAGGATTGTTGTAGAGAGCAGAAAATAACAGTCTTGTTATTTCCAGTGTTGAACTTTTGGCTAAGGTGAAACAAGTAATAAAATCAGTTACTGACATTCAAAAAAAAAAAAAAAAAAAAGAAAGAAATTTAAATTCAATTGGAGGAGGTATGATGCTACATTAAGGCCCAACTGTGCTCATCTTGCTTACTCAGTCAGCTGTCACATGACAGAGGAAACTGATCTCACAATCAGAGCACATACAAGCTTAGTAATCATTGACCAGGCATGCAGGTGACCACAGCTGAGTAGAAATAAAAGATGCTGACTCCTTTTGAGTCTTTGGTTAATGTAAGCACTAAACATCCTGTCTCTACACTCCTAAGCTTCATTAGACACTTGAAAAAGAAGCACTGGGCCAAATTAAAAGAAAATAGTCTTTTTACATTGTGTACATGAAGTGATTAATAAATAATCAGCAAAGTAATGAATGAGGAAAATAAATGCTAGTCATAGACAAAAATATTGGCACCCCTGCATTTTTGTCAGATAATGCATCACTTTCCCCAGAAAAATGTTGCAATCAATCACAAATTGTTTGGTAATCTCATGTTGATTTCTTTTCTTTGTATTGGAACAACACAAAAAAAGCAGAAAGAGAAAAATAAAAGCCAAATCTGATCCATTCCACATAAAACTCCAAAAATGGACTGCACAAAATTATTGACACCCTCAACTTAATATTAGGTAGCACACCCTTTGGACAAAATAACTGAAATCAGTTACTTCCTGTAACCATCAGTGAGTTTCTTCTACCTCTCTACTGGAGTTTTTGGACCACTCTTGTTTTGCCAACTGCTCCAAATCTCTCAGATTTGAAGAGTTACTTCTCCTAACTGCTGTTTTGAGATCTCTCCACAGGTGCTCTATGGGGTTTAGATCTGGCTTTTTTGAAGCCTGCTTTGGGTCATTGTCCTGCTGTAAGACCCATGACCCCTGACGAAGACTCAACGTTCTGACACTGGGCCTTATAATGTGCCCCAGAATTCATTGGTAGTCTTCACATTTCATAATGCCATCCACACAGTCAAGACATCCAGTGGATGAAGCAGCAAAGCGACCCCAAAACATCAGTGAACCTCCAGCGTGTTTGACTGTAGGGGCAGTGTTTTCTTTGAAGGCCTCACTTTGTTTCTAAAAACAAAAAAGCTCAATTTTAGTCTCATCAGTCCCCATTCATCCCCATCATGGATGAGACCAATGACCGTTGTCTGTGAACCTCAGTAGTCTGACAGAGGGATCCCCTGAGGTGCAGCCATTTGTGTACAGGGAGAACTGCAGCGGGGACGGCACACATCCCTGGGGGGGGCACCTGTGCTGATAGTCTGGGTGCTGGATGTGGTTTTCCCCAGCCTCACCTGCTGCTTCCCATCTGTCAGAAAGCTGGAGATCCACTGACAGGTGGGGTCAGGCACAGTGAGCCAGGTCAGTTTAGAGAGGAAGATGTCCGGAATGATGATGCTGAATGCCG